GAGGCCACGGGCCAGGTGTCCTGCAGCAGGTGTGTGTCCCCCGTCTGACTGACGTCCCCTCCCCTCGTGACAAGAATGTCACACAAGCCCCGCAGAGGGCCAGGTCTCCTTGGTCCTTTCCCGATGCGCTCTGAGCTCCAGCCCTCTGGGGTCCCTGCCGGCTTCCCCCTCGTCATTAGCTCCCCATTTATTCACCGTCATGGGCTCGTGCTTTTCTGTTTTAGTGAGCTACACTTGGATATGCATGCGTTTACTTATTTATGATTTATTTACGTATTTATTGATCTACCTACATACCTATCGTGTTCAAACGGTCCCCAGTTCGGCCAGTGGCGGCCCATCCATCTTTGAGGACTTCCCTGCTTCCGGGTACAAAACGTTCTGGGCTCACTGCGTATTCTCCCTGGACGACCCTGAGATCAGCCTTTACTCAAGAAGCCCCAGTTGCTGTGAGTGGAGAACAGGATCCAGAAGCCCCTGTGCCCGCTGGGCAGGCTGGGGTTTCGCAGCTTGCGGGCTCTCAGGGGGCACCCGGAGGGCAGACGAAGGTACGCACACCCACACACCCACCTGTGCATCGCTGCTACGCCTGTCCACCCACAGCTAGCGAGCAGCGTCTGTCCAAATCCAGGAATTCACACCTACGTGCCCAGTTGCACACCGCAGGACGCACACTCATTTCCTCTTTCTGTCTCGACAACTCCATTCTCTGACTGCCACGTCCCCGCTTCCAGCGTCCTGGACATGTCTGTTCACTGGCTCAATCCTCATGGCAGCCAAACCCTCCCCTCCTCCACCCCCCATGCTGGGCTGAACCCCAACCCCCCCCGCCCCGGGGATACCCTCCTGTTACCTTTCTGTAAGTGCATACTGTTTTTACAAGGAACTTTTATTTGGGAATGATTTTAGACTTACAAGAAAAAGGTGAAAGATACTCCCACATACCTCTTGGCCGGTCTCCCCTAACGTTGGCGTCTTACGTGACCGGGATACGTTTGCCAAAACTAAAAACCCAACTTGGGTTAAACTCCAGGTGGCGTTCGGAGGGCACCGGTTTTTCCACCAACAGCTCCTTCTCTTTTCCAGGGCCAGAGCCAGGGTCCCACACCTCGTGAAGCCATCCTGGAGTGCTACCTTTAAGGCAAGGGCTGTCCGCCCGGCATCACGGGCCCAGCAAGAACGCCCTTCGGGAGGGGAGATCAGACGAGACGGTCTCAGACGGTGAAAAAGCATCTCTGCAAGAGATGCTCGAGAGTTCCTGAGGTGAAGGAAAACGGCGCTAGAGGGACACCCAGATCTTCGGCAACGGGAGGCGGCAACAGAAAAGGTAAATGAGTTACGAGCACAGCCAATTTTCCTGGGAAGATCAGACACGTAAGGTCACAGCAAGACTTACTTATAACACCGTCCAGTGGGTTTTCAATGCAGGCAAAGGTCCTACACCTGACGGCGTCAGATCGCGGGGAGATGAAAGGGACCGTGGGGGGCAAGAGGCCCGCACCAGCCTCAGCGCCGAACAGGCGAGGACAGGCTGGGCATGTGCACCGTGTCCCCCAGAGCCGCCGCTGACACGCAACACAGAGACGGCCCGAGAGCCAACCGACAGGGACAGGGGACGCTTCAAAACGCGCCAACGGTTCAGAAGAACAGGGCTAACGGAAACAGAGAGGACACACAGAAAATAAACAATAGAAGAGTTTAGTTTAACCTAACCAGACGCGTAACTGAGGTAAGACAGACGTCCAGAAACAGCATCACCGGACGCGAGGGAAGACATCTGATAGTGACCCAAGGGCACCGAGCCGCTACAGATGTGCACAAGGACAACTTCAAAACACGTGAAGCAAAATCTGAAAGAACTGAAGCGGGAAACAGACCGCTGCACAGCCATCGTGGGGAATTTTAATACTGCTCTCGCTCTCTCAGGAAGTGATAAAAAGAAAAAAAAAGTAGCTGAAGAGAAAACAAGCAAACAACCGAAAACAGCGACGAAGATGCAGAAAATCTGAGCGATCTTATCAACAGGGTCGATCTGACATGCACAGAGCAGTTCATCCAACGACTACAGAGCAGACGCTATTTTCAGGCGTCTGGAACACTCACTAGACAGACCATCGGACGGGACGCAAAGCGTGAAGCATTGATGCAAGAGGATGGAAACCACGGAGGGTGTGGTGTGTTCTCTGGCTACAAGAAGAGCGAAGTCAGTAAGCATACAGTACTAAGGAAACCCCGATTACCCGGAAGTTATACGGCACGCTTCCATTTTGAAAGGAACGGCAAGGACAGCACAACGTGCCCAGTTCAGGGGACCCTCGGGGCTCTGCGTGCTCACCCTGGCAAAGAAGAACAATCTAAAACCAGCTAAGATCAAGAAACCACAAAGTGCAAAGTGGAAGGAAGGAAATAATAAAGAGTAGAAATAAACCCTAGCAGACGACAGAAAAACACCACAGCCACTGAAAAGATACACTGAAAAGATTCATGGCGCTAACAAAGCTCTCATCAGACTGATCAAGAGTGAACGCAGATCCCCAATGTCAGGAATTTAAAAGGGGTTCTCAGTACCAACTGTCCAGATACGAAAAGGGTAAGAGAATGCTATGAACAAGTTTTTGCCAGCAAATTCAGCAACTTACATGAAATGGACAATTTTTGAAAAATGCAACTTACCCAACTAATACAACAAGTAGAAAATCTAAATAGCTCTGTGTCTACTAAAAAAAGTTAAACTGCTCATAAGAAACATCCCCCAAAAGACTCTAGACTCAGACGATCTTACTGGGAGATTCTAAAGAACATTCAAGGAAGACATAACAGCAATCTTACAGAAACTTTCTCAGAAAAAGGAAGTGAGATCACTACCTAACTCATTTTACAAGGCCAGTGAAACTCTAGTACCAAAGCCTCATATTACAGAGAAAATTACAGTCCAACATCCCTCATGAACACAGACACAAAGAATCCCTAACAACACAGGGTCCAGTTGAGTCTACCGCGTACCAGGGCCAAGCGGGATGACTCCTGGAACACAGGCTTTATTAGCAGTTACAACCCCACCCCCCTTCCCCACTGGCAATCACACACACCTGACCCAAGTC